AGTCGGTACCGACTCTACGGTGACTGCCTGGACGAGTCCTTGCAGTTTTCAAGGCAAGGTGTTTCGGAAGTGGTTTGCCAGTGCCTCCTTCCCAGAGCAGAGCTCAGCTGGCGAGCGCAGGAGGCAGGGTTTCTGTTGCTTCGCGCCTTTTTCGGGCATGCACGGCTTCCGTGCTACTGGCAACTGCTCCCGACTCCTTTTTGCAAGGCGCCACCAGGATTTTTCCTCTCACTGGAGTAAGAGTATCCATTTATCTACTCACGTAAGTTTTCAATCTGCTGTGTTGACAGGAGCTGGGGAGGAAGGAGGAGCTCACTCTGCTGCGCAAAAGCTGGGCTCAAACCGCTGAAGTGTCGACCATTTCTGGCTGGCAACTTTCAGCGTCATTAAGCCCCTTAATAATATTTTCCAAATGATTTATAACTAAAAATATAATACATTCCTGGATAATGAAAGGTTGAAACTCTAGAGAGTTGACTTCTAAAAGAATACCCCAGGGAAAAAAGCAGTTAATGTATGTATAAGCATGTAACATATTCATTATGACTTAAAAAAAAAGATATTTGAACTCTTTAGCATGAACTACAGTATGTAGTTCAAGGATAATGATTTGCTGAGGACAATGATCATTTGATGCCTAGTATTTTTTTATTGTCTCAACATACGAACAATTTTTCTGCATTGGCCCTCAAAGGTTGAGCTTCACAGCTTACACTGACAATATAGATAATTATTTATATATACGTTTAACACATTAGCTCTGTTTTCATTTGCCTTGGAGAAAATAAATCCTATCCCTTTTAAATCAAATTTTGCTTGTTTAAATGCTGTCTTGCTTGTTTGCTTGTTTTCTATTGTTGATATGAATCAAAGAGACCTTGATTCAAATTTCAATGCAGCCCAGATACTCCTATCTTAATGGCCAACATCAACATACTCATTACTAAGATTCACATCACATAAAATTTCAGGAAAGTTTGAAAAACACATTATTACCAGGCTCAGTAAATGGGAGTTTTGGTGTGAGTAGTTTAGAGGGAAAACTATCTGCCTCAGTGGAAACTGGAAAAGAGCGAACAACAGATTAAGTATGTTATGGTTAAATAGCATGTTTATACCTAATCTCTCAAAGCTAGGTCAAGAGCTTTCTGTTTTTGAATGTTGTCATGGATATTTATTTTGTAAGATATATTGCTTAAAATGTTCATTTTGTAGTATGCTGTACAAGATCTGATTTGCAAAAATCTGAATGAGGCTGGAAGTAAGCAAAAAGTCAAGAGTTCTGTCTTTGTAGGTCACTAGTGGTCGTCCAGAATTTTATAAATTTTTTAAAAAGTCTGAATCTCATATTGGGGTCTTTGGAATAGATGGATATCCAAATCAAGCTCAAGAGAATATTTCAAAGTGTACAAAAAACAAATGCAATATTTAAAAAGTCACTCTACCAGGTTTCCTGTCTGGTATTTCTGGCATAGTATAATCAGGTTCTTTAGATTTTGATAGAACAGGGCTTGGTTCATAAGAAGGTGAAAGGAAGGTCCACTCCATAATTAATTCATACTCTGACAGGAAAACACACAGACTCAAAATATTGTATAATAGCAATAATATATTACTAAAATATTGCATAGAAGAATTCCATGGACAAACAGGGGTAAACTCTAGGGGAACTGACTTCAAAAACAGTATCAGAGAAAAAAAAAACTAGATGGTAACATGTTACTCATCATAAATTTAAAAGAACAGTTTGGTGAAAAATGAGCTAAATATTCAAGGATAATGGTGTTCATTTCTGAATCAATGAATTCAGTTATCAGTTGATCCTGGAAATTCCTCTATTTTGCCTATTTAAGAAGAAATTATTTTTCTGCCATAACATAACTTTACCACTTAACTGTGACATATATCAGCTACATGCTAAATGTTAGTTCTATTTTCATATAAAAAGGACAAATAATCTAGGCTTTCTTTAAAAATGCAAATTACTTTCTTATTTACCCAATTTTATAATTCTGCATATTATAGTTATGACTAGCTGTGCTATTGTATTATGCATGAATCAAGGAGACCTTGCTTCCAATTTTTACTCTGTCTAGATACACTCACATTACTAGCTGTTATCAATGTACTTTATACAATAAAATTACATAAGGTTTTATAAGACACTTAAGACACTTAAGGCTTAGTAACTGAGATTCTGATGTAATGGATAGTTTAGGAAAAAATTATCTACTTTGGTTAAAACTGGGGGAAAATCCGACAAATAATTGAAACATTTCATGATGGAAGATCATATTTACAACCCTCAAATTTTGCTCAGATGCCTTCTGCCTTGAAATGTTGCTGACATGTTTATTTTTTTAAAATGTATGTCTTCCAATGGAGTTGATTCCAATAAGAGGTATAAGATCTTGGCTGCCAAAATAAGTTTGACCCAAAACACTGAAATTTTAGGGTAATGTTTATGGGGTGACATGCAAAACTTTCCTTCCTACATATTTTGTTTGTTTGTTTATATGACTTAAAATAATTAAGTTATTTTCAGATATTAAATAGTACTTTCTTAGGAACATAATCTGCATCTCTTAGAAATTTCTTAGCCAATTTTGTTTGAATAATCAACTGAGTTACTTAGCTGCAACATTCTATCCTAGTTAAGACTATTGGATTCTGAAGCATTTTTCTGTATTGGGACTGTAAGTTAAATGATAGTTATTTAAGAAAATAAAACAAAATTTAACAGGTTATTCTGGAGCTATTAAATTCTGATTTACCAGATGCGGTTGCTGGTAATCTTTGAAATTATTATAAATACTGATGATCAGATGATAGTAACTATTGGAAATTAGATGTTAATTAGAAATATACGAAGCAATTATTCATAGAATAATTGTAAAGTCTTTGTCTAGTAAAATATTGAACTTTTTTCTAGTACTCTGGTTTCAATTATTCTGTTCTCAGTTTTAGTTCTGTACTGGTTTGAACACAAAGATGACCCAGTTTAGGGCAGGTTTTCCAATAGATTAAGAGTCCCAAGTGCACATTATGCCTTCCTGTGGTTTTCTTCCTATTCTACTAAGTCTACTCAGTCCAGTGAACTGTAAGTTAAGTATATGCCTAATTCTGTCAGACATAGAATCATGGTCTCTGTTACTCTTGTTTCATCCTGCTACATATTCACATTACACTTGACTGTTCCAGTTTTAGAGGTTCAGAATTTTACAAATTATATACAGTTCAATAGAATGCAACAGTTTAGTTTCATATTTGATAAACATTTTTAGAATCTCTCTTTTAACACCATAATATAAGGAATATATGATAGTAGACTAGTATTCCAGTATTTAAAGGAGTAATAAAATTTTAATTATAAATAAATGGCATGAATAAAACACATGACTAAATAATATGGATGGATGCATATAATTATGAGAAGAAATTAATAGAAGAACTAGGAATTGTTGAAGTAAAAGATATTTTACCCATTGTTGCCACTGGATGTCCATCAGTGGCAGATATCTTAGTTGTGGCAGGAAGTGGAACCGATTTGCTGGTAACTGCTGGAGTAGAAAAGATATCATATTGAGACAGATGAAAGAAATCTAAGAGTTCAGGATTTTCAATCTGGTATTCTGCATGGAATATTTTCATAGCATATCATTTGTGAAAGATAACTAAAATATAATTAGCTAATTAGTAGTATGCTGTGCTTCTGGATTTCAGGTAAGTTCAAAAGTTTGTTCAAGTATAATACTGACTCAGTGTATTGACAAGACAGTATATTAGCATATTTCATTTATTGGTTGAATGCATTTAATGTCTCAATCCACTGAAATTCTAGATGGTGCACAGGTATAATATTATGATATGATATGATCTAATATATACAATTTTCAACAACCATGACTCCACAATTATCAATCCCCAAAGGCCTTCCAAAAAAGCCTAAATTCTACAAGTGTCTTGAATTCTACAAGTGTCTTGAAGGTCATTGTAGTGGGAGCCACTCTTGCCTTAGTTGTTCTAAAGAAGGGGAGCCCACAAAAAGAACTGCTGTCATGCCTGCTTCTGTTATACCTGGAGATGGGAGGAGACCTTTAGTAGCTGCTCTCTTGTTGTCCAGATTAGACTGGCAGAATCTACTTGGGGAAGATGGTCTCTTACACTGTATACATAGGCCCTGAGTCATATCAGGCTTTATAGAAGCATCCAGAACTTTGAATTGCACTTGGAAACACATCAGTAACTGATGCAGCTCCTACAGAAGTGGAATTATATGATGGTACTGAGCCTGTCTAGTAAGCATGCAAGCTATTGCATTTTGGAACAGCTGCAATTTGTGGGTGGTCTTAATGAAGAGCATCGTGTAGAGCGAATTACAGCAATCTAACTGCAATATGATAAGGGCATGAAAGACTGTCCTCAGCACATCTTCCAGGTAAGGCCACAATTGGCACACCAGCTGAATCTGGGTAAATGTCCTCCTGGCCATAATTTCCACCTGCTCTTTGAACAGGACCACTGAGTCTAGAAGGAGCCTGAAGTAGAGGATTTGCTTTCTCTGGAGTATACAACCCCTTTGAGAGTTAAAATTGGTAATAACCTGGAATTCAGGCTTCTGAATTGACAGCCACCTTTTCTTACTTTGGTGAGATAGGACCCAATTTTCTATCAGTGTTGGTTCCAGGGCTGACCTATTGAGGAATGGGCATATCAGAGCCTCTTTCAAAGCTGCAGGGATCTCTCTTTCCCTCCCTTGAGTATCACCTGCATCCAATTCCCCATCTCCTCCCTGGTCACTTTATCCAATCTATATGTGACAGAGCTAACATTACAGAGAACCCTGTTAACTTCCCTTTAAATTTAATTAATTAGATTAAAATTTAATCTTAAATGTTGTTATCATTAAATAATTTATTACAATGTATGTTTGCTGAGAAATTTGGAAAAATGAGCTACAAATCTTTAAAAAAATAAAATAACAGGGCTTACTCTCTAGATTATTGAGGTCCACGCATAACTGCTGATTTTTCCTTGATTAGTTAGTATGTTAGATTCTATATCTTCCCTTTCTTCCAGGAGCTCAGGAAAGCTTACAAGAATATCTGTCTTCATTTTATCCCCACAAAAACAGCCTTATGATATAGGTTAGTCTCAGAAGGAAGATGCCTAGACTAGGTGACTGAATTATAAAGCAAGCAAGGATACAAAGGATTCTTTTATAAATGGAATAATAGAGCATATTCTTGAAAATCTAATAAAACAGCATTAGAAAAATGATCTTGTATCAGGGTAAAACTTTAAAACAGCCTAGGCTGAAGCTGCAAGGACTAAATTTTTTTCCCCCAAACATTTTTAAAAAGAGAGAGAAGGAAAGAGAAACTCTGTAGGATGCCAAAAAATGAACCTTGAGATTAGTTAAGTAGACATGCTTAAATAAAATAATTACATAATTACAAAGGAATTGTGCCACCAGCACACTGCCCAACTGTTTTTGATTTACTTAAGCTAATGTACCAAATTAAGCATGCCAGATAGCTGCCTTTTTAAGATATCATGTTCTGGGAATAGATCAAGTATCACAAATTCTATTTTTCTCCTCACAAGCAAAAATAGACCAATGACACATCTTTAGAAGAAATCTGTCCCCTTATTTATATGTTCAGGTTTCCCTCTTGATCTCACAAATTCTATATCTTTTCCAACTCAAAAAAAATAAAATAAAATAAATGAAGGGAATAAACAATATTATTAAAAAGTAAGTTTATAGAGCAAAAGTCACATCAGTTGCTTCTCATTTACCTGGATGATCTTTATATAAGGATACTTAAGACATTATGCTGTATAGAGCATAATTTTATCAAGCACTGTATGCATATGTATATGTAATTCCTCATTCTCTGTCCTGCTTATTGGATATCTGTTGCAAGTTTTCTTATAAATCCTATAAGATTTCACTGCACCAATTATCAGGAGAGAAGTAGAGCCTGTATCCAACCTTGCTTTTTATTTTCTTGTGAAAGTGTAAGTTAATTGTGCTAAAGTTCTATGTGCTCTCCCTCAATAAAATGGTGTATATATGGGTTCCTAGGGTGCTGGACCCAAGAATCAACAACTCCCTTACACATACAAACAATTTCAGTTTAGTTTCAGATTTATCTTCCCATATATTGTGGAGTCCTTGGGGTTCTCTGAGCTTGGTTGTTTTCTTGCAAATGTTTTGTTAACCGGCTAGGTAACACCTTCAGTGCTCTAAAATGCACTGAGGATGTTACCTAGCCAGGTAAAAAAATGTTTGCAAGAAAACAACCAAGCTCAGAGAACCCCAAGGGCTCCAAGTTCAACCCTGAGCTACATATATTCCCTTCTATTGGTATCACATATATTGTCCTAATGAAAGCAGGGTGCAGATGGCTTCCCCTTTTTTATCTGTATAGGTAATCCTGTCGCAAATTCAAACACTGGAAATTGTATGTTGCTTGTGCTATTTCAAGTAGGAAATTACTTAATTCACATTGGAAAGATAATATCCATCTTCAGCTAGAGAGATAATGACCCTCTCTAGTTAAGGTTCCTGGAGGAAGATATTAGAGACACTGAATTCAAGAAATTTGATAAGGGTGTGTCTAAACCTTCTAGACTGAAATAGTGGTTTTTGGTATTTAGTTTCCAGGAACTTATTAAGGCTGAACAATTTACTTATGATTTAACATATTTTGAATATACAGATATTAATACTTATAATACCAAAAATCTTTGCACTGAATGAAAATAGCTTTGATAATTCCACCAGAAATGTTATTTTTTTTATTATGTTTATGAGTATTTTTAAATGCTTTCAGAATTTTATCCTAATGATCATGTACTGCTATTTGTGATCAAGTGTTTAAGCAAATATTGCTGATATTCTTGTCCAATTATATTAATTCAGTTCTGTGTTTCATTTCATAAAATGATAGACATATAAGATGTTATATGATGATGAAATCTTACTGAAATTCTAGATGTCAAAAGAATACTGATTAGTATATTTTATTTCATGTTGTGAAGTTATATAATAAAAACATTGTGACATGTTCTGTTATTATGAAATATTTGTCCAAAACAATAAGAGGGAAAACTTGATCCACACTGTGGAACAAAATAGTTATAGGAAAGTACATAGCAATTACCCAGTGCAATCTTTGGCTCTTCCAGATGGGGAGGAAGTTGGGGCTTGGAAGCAGGGATTTTTTTTTTCCTGGGAGCTGAAGGATAAAAAGGAAAAATGACAATTAAAAAAAAAAGCACTGTGCACTCAGAACTGCTTCTTTACAAGCATTTTTAAACTGGATGAGAATCCTTCTGTAACAGAATTTTGTGCACATCTAAATCCAAAATTGCATAAAATCATCCCAGGTGATTAATAAATAAGAATTTATATGTTGGGTTGTATTTGTATTTTAAGATTTGACTTCCCTCTTTTTCCACAAGGCAGATTCTAAACAACTGTTGCAATTTCTGTAAGATTCTAAAATGTCCAAAAAGACACGAGATTGCTGTTTGAAAAAAGTAAGTAGTGCAATGCAATCTTATCAAATTGTTTAGAAACAAGTTTCTGTGATTGAAAGAGCTTTACTTTTCAGGTATGTGTGTATAGCATTTGGCTCACTGGTCTAGCCTTAAATGATTATTTTGAACCTGATTAATACCTGAAAGTATATATCTATTCTGATATTTTTAATTGAAAGAAAAAAGCCAGGCTAATGTAGTTGTATTTAATTATTTGTGGTGCTTCTTGGTTTTTAAAGTGATTCATTTATTTCTTTTAATATGTTGCTGTGTTTTATAGCAGCTCTTTGTTTGGTACAAGTAAAATATTTCTTTAAATAATAATTGATACATTTTTGCTTTAAATTATAACCATCTAATAATTTACTTTCACAAGCATACAATTACCTCAAATAATTATCTTTTTCTCAGATATATTACTGTCTTTGTATACATACACAGAGTATACATAATTAGAGCAATTGAAACAATAATTTTCTCAAATAACCTTATTTTCATTGCTTTCCAATTTAATGCTATAATATGAATAATTTATCATTCTGCTATTATTAAAAAGTAGTAAAGGGTTATGTCAAATTGGATGGGGTTCTATTAAAAGGGGCATGGCCTATTCCACACTTTTTTACACAGTAAAATAGGGTCCAGTTTGCTGTTACACATTTTCTACTTAGCATGTACCCCCCCAAAATAAGGAGCACAGTCAATTTTGTCAGTACCAATAATCTGTTTTAACATATGGATCTGACTGCAAACCATGATTTCCTTCTTCCTTCATGGTAATGAAGGAAAGGGGAAAGCATTTATTTTCTGTCCCCTAAATTCCAAACACTTACTAAGAGCTAAAGAACCAACCAGATATCCATTTTTATTCTTGAGGCCAGTTCACATCCAGAATCATAGGTCTTGGGTGGAGTCTATTATATATATATCCAATCTAGCAGATAATACATATATAAAAAGATGTTTCTATAAACTTTGCCTTTACCAAAGTTCAAATAGAAAGGGTAGAATTGCTAGGGCTGAATCAATGGAAGTTTCAATTTTATTAGTGAACTATGAATAGCTCCCATGAGAGAAAAGGAACTGAAAAAAAGGACAAAAAAACCCCCACCTTACCTGTTTTATTTCTCTCAGCTAGCATACTCTCATCACCCAATACTTGTTAAGATTCAAGAAAACATTTCCCTATTCTCTCTCTAAATTTGGTTTGTAACATTCTCTCATAGCCTAATTTGTTTGGCTAAATGGTAGCCAATTCAACCAAAGATAAAAAGTATTGACATCATTCTGAAAAAAGAGTAGTAGAATAGCTGGATCACGCTCCTGGCTAGAGAACATGGCAGTTTAAAACATCTGATTAATGAGAAGCAAATAGAAGTAACACATGCAAATAATGGTAAACAGGGAGGGATTTTAGCAAGTATAACTATAATTCAAATTAAACATATGACAACATCAAATCTGATACACAGCATGGTTTCCATTTAGGCCTCATCACTTGAATGCTAATGTAAAAACCAGGCAAAGAAACAGCCCAGCCAACAAGAAGAAGACAACAGATGATATACCGTGGCCAGACGAAGGGAGCACCCACCACAGTTATAAAAATCGACCACCTATAGAATATTGAAAGCATATGCAATGTATTTAATTATTAAAACTGTTCTCCTGTAATTTTATGTAAATGTAATTATTCTTTACCCATTGTGGTTCTTGGCAATTCTGAGGTTTTAAAAATGCTAGATGTAGTGGTTTTCTGCTGTGATTCTTTTTCTGCTAATAATAAAAAAAAATGAAATAGCAATACATCATTTGGGAATTAGATACTTTTACATAAAATATTATTCTAATATTTTTACTAGAAGCTAATCTTTGTTGTTGCAATGACTACTTAGCATCTACTATAAAAGCAACTTATCTTTTGAAGCTGAGACCTTCACTTTCCATAAGAGCAGTCTCAGTTCCTAGAGAGAACCATTTATTGCACTGGCCTAGGTTAATCCCTTGAAAGACAACAATGAACTAAATATATGGAGGAGAGACAGATAATAGATTATGCCATTAATGAAGATAATTCTGCTTTCCAAAAAGGCAACTGTTTTAATCTGGATGTCTACTTTTAATATTTCAAAAATGTAGTATGAATTGACCAGCTTAAGATTTGTATAGTCCTAGGACTGCAGTATGAGCCAGAGCTCCAGGCACAGAACTGCTGTTGTTGAGCTAGCTGAGAGCCAAAGCAACGTTGCCTGTTTTCCATGTTGCAAATCACTTGGAAAAGACAAGGCTACAAGGCTACATGACTCTGTATGGTTCACATAAAATGTCAGATACTCATAAAACAGATGCTACAAAGAGTTTAAAGATGAAGGGAAAAATCCCAAAACCCCAAATCACCTTCAGGAGAAAGATGAGACTTAACTATCTTCACCATGTGGAATTACAAAAAGGAAGGTCTTTTTCTAACAGTACAAAATTACTCCACATGCAAGCTAGATATAACAACCACCAGAAGCGACAAGAGATTGAGATATATGTTTTCTAGTGGTTAAAATGCTTTGGTCATTATGTCTGAGAATATGGACAGGCACTACTGTGACACTTGTGATAACTGGAGGATATAAGCTGTAAGACCTTTGAAAAGTCTTCTCCCTAGAATTGGCCTCAGAGCCCAAGATCTGGTAGGAGTCCCCTTTCAATAAAAAGGATTGAAAATAAAATTGCCAAAATAACGATGCCCTATGGTGAGTGTTATAATACTGATCAATGTGCCTTGAAAAGATACTGGAAAAGATATTGGGCAGCTCCCTTGCAAGAAAAGACTATAGTATTGGGCCTTTTTAATTTAAAAAAGAAGGTGGGGAAATGGTATATAATATCCTTTTTTCAATTGCACGCTTGATAGAGGAAAGAGTTTATGCTTCTCTTACAATGTGTCACCCACCATACTGAGAGATGGAAAGAAATGCTTAAATTTATGAAATTTTCTGTCAAAGTGATGGTGATCAGTAAAAATTATTCTAGAAGTAGATAAATGTCTAGAATAAATGCATGGAAGAGAAGTCTATAAATGTCTACTGGTCTTGATATTTCAGTGTAATAAAACATGTCCTTTGTTTGCATTGGGAGCAATAACAGAAGAAGGATGTTGCCCTCATGATCTGCTTGTCAATTTCCCAGATGCATTTGCTCACCATGCATCCATTCACCATCTGCAACACTGTCTGCTGGATGAGATAGACCTTTCGTCTGATCCAGCATAGTTCTTCCTGTGTTATTAATGTGCTACTTTTAAGCAACCAAATTATTTTCTCATTTCTTAAATCTGGATACTATGTAAAACTGCAGTTTGCTCCAAACCATGCACAGAAACTTAAAACATTCTCTCTTCATTCATGAAGTAGAAATAAAGGCTCACTACACAACTCCATGGCATGCCATCTAAGCTCTTTATCTGAATGTGTTCAATGGTGAACATCAGTGTTACAATGAATGTCTATAAAGTATTTCAGTGTCTAGATAGCAATGAGAAGAGAAATTTCATGTGATTTAAATCTAATTAAAAGAAATATTCTGACTTTTCATGTAGATAAAGAACACATTTTACAGGAAATACTTTTATTCCTTTTGCTATGGCCTTTTAAAAAGTTGAAATACTTTTTCTAAAATCAGGAGATAGAACTGTATTTTGACTGATATGTTAAATCAGCACTAATGTATTTTACTTGTTTTCCTACAAATATTCATTATGAAGTGATGAAAGGGCAGATCTTTTCACTTTTCATAATTCAGATCAATGGATACATTCACTTTATAACAAATACATTTTCAAATAATTAATGCTATATCTGAAAGCTGATTAATACATTTGAATGTTCATTTTGTGGGCATCCAGGTTTTTATTGTGCAATCACCTTGTTCCATTCATGGAATTTTTAGGAAGATCCTCTAATGGTTTTCTATTTGTAGCCCTTTTTCTTTTCATTTTCTCCATCTTTTTTCCTACCACAAAATAGCTTCTGAGGCCTTTTTCACAAGGCCTTTTTACTGATGTGATAGGAGCCTACTCTTTCTGAAAACATAATTGTTTTATTATTTGCCATTGTGAAAAAGGAGGGGTTTGTTACAGATTTCACAGGAAAAATATAGTTGAAAACTCCTTAATCTCACAATACATGGACAGCCATAACTTAACCATAGCTTCATCTGGGAAACTGTAAGCATCCTAGACCAAGCTAAATCCAAAAATGCTAGGGAATTCCTGGAAGCTAGGCATTCAGACACGTCAGCCATCAATAGT